TATCGTTTTACAGGTCAACCGCTCTCTCAAGACACTCCTTACATAACGTAGACAAGCGGGGTTATTATACAACCCCAAACAATAAATGCGGCAAGCCAAAACCGTAAACCTTAAGGTATGGCTCCGAAATCTCCGCATAGTCGTCGCAAGTTTCCTTGACCAGCTCCAGAAACTCCTGTCGGGCTTGTTTATGGCTTGGTAAAGCTCAGGGTTTAGGGGGGTTGGGGACGGAGAATCTAGTGGTGTGAGCTTAAAGTCTCCCAAATCATGCTGCGAGCTCTGCTATGAGCTTTTCTGCCCTGGCCTCAAGCACTCATGCAGTGCTATTTGTCAACGCATGTGCAGCATTGACGACATGTTGGAATCAACGGATGCTTTCAAAACACCTGGCCATCACTGTGCCAACGCAAGAGAAGCCAAGGCACTAGCACAGCCATTGCAATCAATAAAGCAGATCTTGACAAACAAATATACCTGAACATGAAACAAAGGCAGGAACATACGGATCCACCAGCGCCATACTTTGCGGCCTGTGGTATCCGGTAGCTCCCTTTCCCAGCTCCTACGTAGCTGAACTCTGTGTGAGACGGTCGTTCTGCCAGCGATGCTCCTTCAAAGTAGGTGGAGTAGGTGGCTGGAGGCTCAATGCGAACCCGCGTTCCCTTCACGAGGGCGGTATTGGTAATCTTGCGCTGTAGCCTGCGGCTGACAAACATTGCGTACACGGTGTTGTCGATGTTGTTCACAAAGGTGAGTGCAACTGTGTTCAATATTAAATCCTTGTTGCTCTCGCTCGTAAGGATGAACCAACTGCCGAACAGAACAAGAGATGTGCAAAGAGGAAACTTGGGACTCGTCAGGATGAACTGAGCAGCTTTCGTGGGCCAGTCGTCTTTGCTGAACACCTCGTCCATTGCTACTTCTTGAGCTAGCTCGAAATGCGTCAGAAGCTCTGGAAGCACCTCTAGAACAAAGACCGCGACGCATACAACCGCCAGATTGAGGTCGCAACTCTCACTGCTGACAACTGCAGAGAAGTCAACTGGGGTCTTCTGCGTTTCGAGTAAAACAAAACGCAGCAACAAACCCGTGCAACTGAACGCGAAAATGTGCGACGCAAGAACAGCAAAGAACTCGAACAATGTGCATTCAAACTTGGCCGCCTCACTCAAGATCACATAGCACGCCGAAGAGGTGTCTGCCGGCATCAGAAAGCCATCAGCGAAATCCTGATCTTGGTCGGAACTGTCCTGGTTCACCTGTCTTTCCCACTTTCAAACAAGAACAAAACCATGTTCTGGCTAAATAATCAAGCATATGCGATTCCTATCGGATCTCAACATTCCTCTACCAAAAAGTGTCTTCCAGCAAGCCCACCTGCTTCCGCAGCAAGTCCTGTTCCTCATGGTCTCTCATCATTCGGCAAGCTTTGTCTGCGCAGGGGGACTTACCGCTTGAGCCGAACGGAGTCGATGTACAACTGTTGTACGACACACCCATGCCCAAGCAAAGTCGACACATCAATATCGCTGCCAACATTTTTTGTTAAACATGGTTCACTAAATCAGCCTTAGCTTTAGCACCTTCAGTAGGTCAATTCTTACAGAGGACGTAACGCGAACGTCTGGGCGTAATTGGAGCTGCCTGAGGTGTCAGAACTGTCTTGCAGCGCTGATGGCTACCCTAAACCCTAATCCCTAAATAGTAGTTTCCAGTTTCTCTTCCAAAATCCCTATACTACCCCTGTATAACCCATTCAGTACCTACGACTTGCAAGTAGGCAAACCCGGTGACCCTAGAGAAATATGGGGACTGAGGGACCATATGAGCGCAGTTTCTACGCGGGCGGATGTGTAAAGACTCAGCTGCCCTAAACCCTGGAATCTAACCCTGATTCCTTCAACCCCAGACCCTAAACCCTAAGTAAGGGGGGTATTGGCTGGGTTGCAACAGCACAAGGAGTACGAGAGAATGATGCTGGTAATTCTTCATGCCCCTAGGAAATGACTCCATAATCTTGTAGAGAATCCTGTGTGATCCGCCTACAAAGTCTCGAACACCGCCCTGCTTTGAGGGTCAGGATTGGAATCCGCCCTAGACACTGAACCCTGAATCGTCCGTTTAGCGTTCGGGGGACAACTTCAATTTTGCTGCCGGGCGGCGAAAGTATCATTACTTGCGCGAGAAGTATGGCCAGCTTGTAAGCATTGAGGATATTCTGGCAGGTCCACACAATGATCGACCTTCGGAACCTCTATGGTAATGATCCTATACGAGAAGGAGCCTTCTTGAAAATAACCATATTGTTGGATACATGCACTTCCATCTTGGATTTCTTAAATCAGCGCGATAACTTGTGCGGCTTGATTGCCTCTCTGGGCAATCGTCATAGGCAGCCGCCAAATAGGAGTCTGTCCACCTTACATCGTTTGACGGCTGCCGAAACGGTGCACAAACGGCACAGCGACGCTACCTTCAAGATTATGACTGGAGCTGTTCACCAATGCGCCTAGAGCGTCAGAAGCAATCGTGCAGGGCGTGTGGCTGAGATGAGCCAGAAAAATTCAAGTGGCAAACCAAGAGGGTAGGTAAACCAATCTGCCCAGAAGTACAAACTTTCAAAGTCACATCGCACGCCGCACATTCCATCAAATCCTGTTCCTTTGGTAGCTATCCGACATTATGCGCCTGCTTTGCAGTGCATGCTTGCAGCTTTGTGCACAAGCAGCATGTCTGACAGAATCTTGAAATGCCCCGTAAGTACTAGCAGTCATGAGCTATAACTTAACAACCAGGCCTATATGAGCTATAGTCGGAGCTATAATCTAAACTCCTAGCATCCCCCTTGCTAACCACCATAACACTCGCATATATAATCCCCCATATGACCCCCTTTAAGGCGTTTAGACTATAACCTATATGAAGTGACCCTGCACTTGATGCAAGAGTCTTGCAAGAGCACATTGACTATATGCCCAGGCCGCGATCTGTGAACACAGCTTTCTGAGTTCCGCTGCTGCCTAAACAACTGCAAGACGTGTAAACCCATGTTTGGGCTTACAGTGTCTTTTCTAGGCATGGGAATTACACCCTGAAGCTGTACATCGCCAGGCTACAGCAGCTCGTGCCAACCGGTAAGGTTCTCTGCCGAAGTCGATGCCCAGCATCTTTGCCTGGAAGGACTACACGGTTGAAGGGTCTAAGGTTTAGGACTTGGGCCTGCAAAATGGTGTAGGGTCTATAGAAGACAGATAACCCCAATCATGGAGAATCATATCGAAAAGAAGACGGAACATGCTATGGAAGCTGGGTGAACATGACAGGACTAGAGTTTAGGTTTTACTGCGTCCACAAGCTAACAGTTCATAATAGGGGAGAAACTATAAGGGCTTGAGAAAGTATATCCGATCAAATTTTGAACTGTGACTCGTTGGGGGCAGTACACAGGGTTGGGTTAATGTTCCTGGCAAGCCTGGATCCTTCAGCGGAAGAGCAAATCATGGTCTATGAGCCCGAAACCCTAAGAGGTTGGAAGAGACCATCCAGCCCGCTCCAATTCATAATCCCCTCCCCTCCCCTTAATAATCCATATGCGCTATGGTCTAAGCTCCTTAAAAGGGGTCATGTAGGGGATTAGGGTTTAGGGTCTAAACTCCTTAAACGGGGCCATATAGGGGATTATACGGGGGAGTATCATCGGGCTTATTAAGTGGGGTAGTAGGAGTTGAGACTATAGCTCATATACTACCCACTCTATGCTGGTGTTGGGAAAGCCTGAAGCCTAAGCCCTAAGTCGTGCGGGCTGGGGCTATGTCTTGGGGGAGGTGGCTACATTGAGTTAGTACTGAATTTTCCCGAAACCCTCAATGGGGCTTCCCCAAATTAGGTACTTTTTTGGGGGGGTACCCTTTTTGAGGATCGTATTTTGGGGTGTATTTTGGGGGGGTCCCGAAACTATGGAAACTGCCAAATGCCCCCCTAAGGCCCTCTGCAGCTGCAAGAGGCTGAACCTCCAAGTGCTCAAGCGGCTGCTAACAGCAAGCGCTGGGGAACCCTCATGTAGGTAGCTTCCAAAATTAGAATCCCATTGTAGCACCCCTAAATATAAGGTGCCATGAGCGTGGGGCGGGCAGCATTGCAAGGTGGAAGCAGCGACAGAGTTGCAGGCGACTGCGTGAAAACCGGACATGTGGGCACATCTTAAAGGAACGCTGACCCGTACGTCTCCCCAAATCATGGCAAAGCCCATACACTCGTCAACTCTAAGCCCTAAACTGGGTTGCTGTTCCGGAACTTAAATTTGGTTACTATATTGGGGAAACCCTATAAATTACTATATATACCCATTATGGTAACTTAATTTAAGTTCCTTAGCAGCAACCCAGAAAGCCCATACACTCGTCAACTCTAAGCCCTAAACCCGATTGCCTGGCTTCTCATCAGGAGAGGCCACTGTCGCTCTTGGTGTGCTTGCCTGAGGCATCATGCCATGCCAGGAAAGGGGTTAGGGTCTTAAGGGTTTAGGGTTTAGGGTTAGGGTTTAGGGTCTTAAGGGTTTAGGGCATCATGCCATGCCAGGAAAACGTGCTGCACGTAGGATTTCCAAAGGTTCGGGTCCTTCTGGGGCTTCCCGCACTTTCCGTTTCAACTCCAACGGAGGATTGGGGTTCTTTTGGGTTTAGCGAGGATACCTCACAGATGCCAGATACATGCGTTTTGCTTTCATCTAGGGGATTTGGTGCATGTTATCCTATACAATCCTGTATAATCCTATAAAGGATTATATAATCCTGTATGCTCCTGTATAACCCTATATAATCCTATATACTCTTGTATAATCCTGTATAATCCTGTATAACCCCAGACTTTAGACCCTTGCAAGCAGGAGGCAGCTTTGCGGGGCAAGCGGCTGCGAGTCCTTCGTCACAAAGGGCTTGAGGTTTGGGGTTGAGGGCTTTAGGGCTTAGGGCTTTAGTTTTTAGAGTTTTAGGGTTTAGGGTTTTAGGTTTTTGGGTTTGAAGGTTTTAGGATTTAGGGTGGTTTGGGCTTCAGCCATTTCGGGCTTAATGGCGTGCAGGATGCATCAGGCGTATCTAGCGTGTAGGAATCAAGGTTTCGCTGTTTAGGGAATTTGCTCAGGGCAAGGAAAGCCGTGGGCTGCTGTTTTTGAGCTATGTTGCGAACTATCTACAACAAATTCGCAGGGATCTCGTATGGTGTCAGAGAGTGTTTGCTTCAGCGATTGAGCACCACTGGAGCTCTACGGCCATACAGTGTAAAGATGAACTTGCAATACCACCAGGATTTTCCGCTAAAGGTAATGTAGACCCTTGATTGATAGACCCCTTCTTTTACAGAAGGCCTTAATCTTAGGATCCCTATTATAATCCCTATTAAAGGGAGTATTCATCAGGGGTCTGGGTTACCGATTTTGCTAAGGAACCTTACATACACTGGACAAAGGCTGAAAATAATGCTCTAGACCCAGTACTCAGGGGGCTCAAACAGTGGGATGAAGGTAGTTGAGCTAAAGGATTCATTGTATATACTCTCTTATATTGGGGCTTATTTCCTATACCCCACCTTGCTTCATCCCACCTCGTGAGCCCTTTGAATTACCTAACCCCACAACCCAAGGCCCAAAACCGTACACCTTGAACCCCCAAACTGGCCCCAAATCCTAAGCCTTGAACCCTGAACCCTCATCCCAATATCCCAAACCCAAAGCCCAACAACAGTTCAGGAGGATGAAAAGCGTCATTTGCAAGGCGACTCAGCCGGAAACCGAAGAAAGGAATTCGGCAATTCCCCTTAGCGAACCCTGGGTATTCCAAAAATGGAGATCTCCTAGGCCTTGAACACGAAGCTTCTAAGCTTCTCCCCCCCTCCCCTTGACTACAGCCACTGATAGTCAAAGCTCTGACGCCAATGAACCTGCCCGCGCTTGCCACTTGGGAAGGCGCTAGCCTTCAAATTGTGGAACCGAAGCCCTTCCAACATAAGCCCCCGAAACCCCGTAAACGGCCAATCCTAAACCATACAGCCCCAAAAACCTAAACCCTAAACTTCAAATTCCAAACCCTAAACCTTAAACCCTGAACCCTAAACCCTAAATCCTTAAACCCTAAAATCCCCTCAACCCCCAACTCCTCTCAACCCCCTATACCCCTATATAATCCCTATCATCATATAGTAGTTTCCATTTTCT